AACAAAATTCAGACAGCATTACATCTTGTCTCAAATTAATTACCATTTTGGTATACTATTCCACTAGCTGTGGGCCTTGTCATACAAGGTGCAACACTCAAAATTTCAAGATTTTATTTCAAAACGACTCGATTGTTTGAGTGGTGCCGTCCGCTGGTTATGGTAGTCACTCGGTATATTCTCTATAAGTGGCAGAATTCTAGAAAATTTAAGACATTTATAATAACTGTTCCTGTTTGATCACCATAACTATTAACATTAAAGCAATCAGATTTACCACAGCTGATATTCAAAAAAATACTTTGACGTATACGGATATGGCTTATTAAATATTTTAAGATTATTCACTAAATCTAGAAGTACGTACATTAATTTAAGTTATTTCACAAACAACACTAACTTTGTACAATATTTATATTACATCGTATACATAGAAATCGTAAGTAATTAAACTGAGCTCACATCAAAATCAACAAGATATCAATGAGTATACAGGGTGTTATAAAGGTCGGTACGAAGTCATCAGTTCTCATTGCCGGTGATCACTGAAAATCAGGATTTGTTCATTGTCGTGGCAAACTCACTCATTATAAAATACACGTTTTTGTGTTGATAATCGGAAACATGATGTTTTCGTTTTTGTATTTCGGCAGTTGATTGGCTGTGTTTACGATTTTGTATTTCGCTTCCTCATTGGCAGTTTATAAAACAAAAAATAAAAATGACCTACCAGAACACTGTTGATGCTGTCATAATGTGATTACAAAATCACAATTGAAACTTCAAACTTCTGCCAAAAACTAGATAGGTATATACACACCATTATTTTAAATTTGATTGACCCTACAATATTCGTTAAATTCTAAATAATTATTTAAATAAAAATTACGCAGTCTGTGACGTGACCGTCGACGCAGCCGCAAACCTATCGAACATCTTATCCACAATGCTGAGTATTGTTTTGTTAGTTGCATAAGCGTTCTGTTTATGGTCTACGGTTGATGGAGCGCGATGAAGCAGGGTTAATAGAGCTTATTTGAATTGAGAGGGCTGTGGATGGAAAACAACATTTTAAAATAAAAGTCAATAAACATATAAAATGAATGACAAAACCCGTTTCGGTGATCACAATCTCGAAGAAATGAAAAATAAAATTGAAGATCTAACACCGCGTAAAATACCGTGCGATCGAAAAAATATATCTGGAAGCAATTCACAGAATTTTGCAATCAATGAAATCACCAACTGAAAGAAAGTACATCCGATGAAAAACTTCCGGATATCCTCACGGAATGGGCATTCAATATGCATAAATAAAAGTTCGCCAAAATTATTAATTCATTCTTGAAATAATCTTATCAAATTCAAGTTGTTCAATCGAAGATTATCGAAAAATTCCCTTTCTTTTTCGAAACAAATTATGTTGCTTGGCAACCACACGAGCGCAGGAATTTGTATTTCGATAATCATCGATACACTTGTTGTATTACATTCGAATTTTTTTTTAATGTAGAGAAGGGAGAGGTGTATTTTGGAGCCATTAATTTTCTTTCAACCAATGCCTACTAGATTCCATTTAGGGACTGATCAAAATCCAGGATCCATATTAGCGATTTTGTTTTGGAAAAATCCGGGTACACCCCTGGATTCGACGTCCTCTGAAATAGATCTGTAAGAAATCATATTAGGATTTTTTTCACAGGAAAACTGACCTCATAATATTGTTGTCCAAGGTTTAAACCCCCCATATCTAAATTTTGATATGATTCCTATGAGGTGTTTCAAAAAAACAGGCACATTTGAACAGCATTTTTGCGAACGTTTTTATCATTTACTCGGAAATGGTGAGTGTTTTTTTTTTCAAATCACGATTTTCTACCTGCAAGAGCTATTACGTTCTAAAATTTGCAGTTGATTTGCATTCACTATTTTTTCGAGGCTGAAAATGAGAAAAAAAATGAAGCTTATCCGGTTTATTTGAAATGAGGTGATTTTTCTGCATATGTAGGTTCGAAAGCATAAGGCACAATGCTATGCACTTTTCTTGCGAAAAAATTTCTAAAACCGATTTTTCCAATTTCGATAAAAAAAGCACACGGCACTGTCCAACAGGATGTTCGTCTCTGAAAAACTGATCATATTGATGATTATCCATACCGGTCCAAATTTGGTACGAATCGCACGACTAATAACCACTAAAACTTAGATAGAGAGGGGGGCCGTTTGAAATGAGACAAGACGCTGATTCCAGTGGTGTAACACGCAGATTTTTTCCTATCCTCCCGCTACATTTGAAAGAAAATCCTGAAAATCGCTCCATAAATAAAAAATCTCTACATATTTAGTGGGATATTTTCGAAAAGCTTCACAAGGGGCCTGTCCAATGGTGTAGAAATGTATAGTGTGCAATTCAAAATTCATACACTATTGCTTCTCCCTCTATACCTAATTTGTCAGATGATGAAATTGAATGTTGATTCAATTCCTGTGAGGCTGTTTTCGATTTTTTTATCTACTGTCAAAAATGAAAGCTATAAGGTGTCGTACTTTATAACGTGTAATTCGGTACAGATGTATGTTTTGCCCAAAGCAATTCAAATGACTCTTCTCTGTAAGACTTCGCATCGACCTTTGGAACACATTGTGTAGTACACGAAATGGTGATTAAAATTGGGCATTGTAAGTTATGATTTGTCGAAATATGACAAGACAAATGGTGTGTTGATATTTTTGCATCTTCATCGTTCATAGCATTATATAACGGTTTTGTAGTTTATACTAGAGATACCTTTACACAACATACTATCACTTTCATTTTGGAATGTACAGTATTTTCACGTATATTTTGAACCCTTATTAACTTTCTAGTTGAAACAGCTGTGAAAAAATAAGAAAAAAGTTTCAGTGTTTCTCAGATATGTCTTTCGAATAGGTGTAGAGATATAGTCTATCCAAAGTTGATTTTGGATAAACTACGAAATACATTGTGCCCAACGGAAACATGATATATAGAACACAATGAATTTATTCAAATGGAATACCTACCTCACCCTATAATATGTCTACATTCAATTGAATCATTTTATATAGGGTTGCTAGGTCTGTTTTATTTTTTGACATATTCTAATTAGACATTGAAAAACCATGAATATTTCTTTGGCCAAATTGATTTTGACATTGCGTTGTTCGACTCCTGTCAGAATTGAATGGTGATGAAAAAAATGTTATCAAAAAGTACGATAGCTTGATCTATCAACCTGTCTCTGTATGTTTGTATTCATTCAAATTCAGAAGAACAATCTCCAAGAAAATTCGTAGGGTATTCTATTGGGGGACATTTTTTTAGTAATATTCAAGGACAATAGAGATGACATTCTTCAACTTTTTTAGCTTTCTATTTATTGAAGACGCTATATAAGTTTTGTTTCCTTTTTACTACCGAATGTGGAATGGTTTTTGTTTCAGTACATTTATATTAGGAATATTGTCTGGTTAATTAATAAATAAGCAACAATTGATAGGAGAGTACGTTTTGTTTGGAATTACATTTTTCTACATTTATGATTTATGAAATAGAAAGAAAGTTATATGTGAAATTTTGTTGTTTATAACTTTCGAAAAAATTCGCCATGAAGAGAAAGAAAAAACCCACATGGAACTTTTTCTTTGCTCACCCTTACCATCCAGCTAACACAAAATACTAGGTAATTTCCATATCAGAAACCTAAGAGACACCATGGTTGAGAAACATTTTAAGAAAGAGAATATAGGTGAACTAAGAAATTATGAAATTTTACAAATTGTTAGACGTTTTGACTAAAATGATCCTAGATAATTGATCTTGAATTTGCATAATAAGATTTTAGAAGCAGTAAATACCTGGACGTCCTATCTATATTAACTTGACATGAAGCAACGTTATTGCCTCCATTCGGATGAATGCATATGTATCTTGAGTTTTGAAAAAAACTTCTGTCACTGAGAAGTGTCAAAATATGACTTCAATATCGAGCATCATCTTCTTTTCTTATGTTGAAAACGGAAGCAGATTCGTTCCAGAAATATCCAAAGATATAAATAGTACATATTCCTTCAATACACGTATACTCACCTATACTCTTCTTCTTCAAAACAATGTGTCACCGAATAGCGAGTAATTTTTTTTCTCAGGTTTCTAAATTCTACAGGGCAATTTAGAGCGCAGTGACATTTTGGGGCAAATCATCTGATTTGCTCCGAAGTCAAAATCAAAATCTGACATTTCGGTGAATTCAACCAATATGAAAATGCTTAATTCTAACCATTTGTACTGCTATGTTGATGCAAGGTTGAAGCGATGGGGAAGACCACTGAGGGATGAAATCCGTCCAAACTTCTTTCAATCGATTAATCAAAATTTACTTTTGATATACAATCAGTATATAGCGATTTGAAATCAGCATATTCCATTCGATATCTCACAAAGCCAGATATAGAGGTGGAGCCGTGACGTATTAGTCCCGAACTGTTGCTATTTCTCGCTTCTTCGTCATTCTGCAGTGTTGCAATATGATTGGTAAGCTCAAGGACAATAGGCGCGTTGGGCCTAATACGTCATAACATTCACACCAGTCACACCAATGAATTGACAGCATTTCTAATGGCACAGGAAATGTGTGTTTTGAAATTAACATATTCTAATCTCTTTTTATTATCGTCCTAGTATGGATGAAAAAATTCAAAATTATATTTACTGGTAGTTTTTTAGTGAAGAGCTCACGATGATGCTGTTTTAAAAAATCAGTGGTCTCCCCCATTACTGAAACTGATGGTCAGCAATATTGCAAATGCACAACTCGTAAATGTAAACGTTCCAGCGATGTCTCGATGTTTCAGAATTTGTTTCAACATTGCATCAACATAGCTTCCAACTTAGTGGGTCGGAAAGCACGAAACCATTGAAAAAACGTACCGTTTGTGGTAGCTGTCCGGTATAGGCATACCTAAGAAGTATCTTAATACTAATAGACCGGCGCGTTATTGTGCGTGTCGTAGTTGATCTGCAGATACGAGGGAATGGCGGCGTTCAGTTCGGAGGCGCGCCGCCGCAGCGCCGCTATGCTGTGGCCGCGCCAGAGGTCGTCCTCGTCGCCGCCGCCCGCGCCGCCCGGGGAACCGCCTGTGGCCGCCCCAGGCGGGGTGGATGCGGCGGCGGCCGACGAGCAGGGGATCTGCGGGGGCGGCGGGCTGCCGGCCGTGCCGCTACCGCCGCCCGCATTGCAGTACGTCATCATGCTGTCGCCTGGAACAATAATATGGATCCATGAATGAAAAAAAAGACTCTGAGTAGGTCGAGTCGGTCGACCACACTTTATATCACCAATTATATATTAGACAGTGACCGGTTTCAGTACAACGGCCATCATCAGACTGAAACGACCTAACATACATTACGAATGTATAGGAAAAACATGTATATGGTTACAGAATAAAACAAACCTGATATGGGTCAGGAAAGAGAAAGAAAAAGAGAGAGAGTGAGTAAAAGAAGACATAAAAATAATTACACTGTTTGTTTGACGAATATCGTGCGTAGCTAGGGAGGATAGGGGAAGGTATTGGATTTTTTTAAATCAGGTATACTTATATCCATGTTTAGAAAAGGTATCTTCAAGAAAAGTAAGTCCGGTCCTGGAATATTTCATCGAATAGACTTGAATAGAGCCTCTTTCCAACTTTTAATTATACTACACAGATATGCAAATTTGTTATTGAACAAATTGGAAAGCCACACTTGTAGTGTTTTTCCTGATCTTTCTGATTCTGATGAACGGTTTTGAAAAATACGATTCAGAAAGTCGAAATTGTGACATTTAAAAAGAAAATGGGTTTTCCAAGTCTGGCCCTGGAATTTTTTCTCCATAGCGGGCCATTGTGTGGTGTGTCAGTTGAGCTGAGTTGCTGGTGAATTTCAGGCGAAAATATCGAGACATTATTATCATTAGTCATGTTAGCAAAATAATATGGAAGTACCTACTGTTTCACCAACATTTGCGTTAAGTCTGCAAGTGATTTACCATTGAAAAATGCCAATATTCACCCACTGATAGTAATTCACTTGTGTGACATTGCTCTGAAAGTGATGGCCCATGTATAAAAGTTTGCTGTGTGATTCTTACTAAGGAATTTGAGAAACACCATCAGTATTTTTAACCATCAAATAGTTGTTTTTTGGTATTTATAACTAGCATATACAAGTGCACAAAAAACGGCCAGGATTGTAACTTTTGAATTATTCTAGATAGGGTTTTGAAAATTGGTGGGTAGCAATTATATACCAAATTGCTCATTAATTGATGAAAGAATTTTTCTTCTATCACTTCCAGTTTCACCGGAAACGACCCCAACTTTTGATTTTTGAAAAGGACACCCTGTATTGTATTCCATAATCGGTTAGGAATTATTATGACGAATTCAGCGATACCGGGTTTGATAGGGTTATTTCAAACAATTACAAGGATATTTGCATTCGAAGTTTCCATATGCTCAATGGGTATGATTTCATAATGTCAAAACTTTTTTCTCTGTCACACTCATTGAGCATATGGAAACTTAGAACGCGAATATCTGATGCGTACTTAATCGTTTGAAATAACCCTAACTAGGGTCCCTTGATGGAAATTGACGTTAAAGTCATCTTAACAGGGTACGGACAGATCATATAGCTGCATTCTTTTTCAATGATCTAGAGATTTTAGTTTTGTCTACTGGCATCCCTGAAATTGCTGTCACGTCACATCCATGGGCGCTACAGAAAATCATTCAAAATTTTAATAATAGGTATGTACAGGGTATCTACTTGTTGAGGAAGATCATATGGCGAACGAGTTTTGAAATTAGGATCCGATTCTATTCAAAATTGGAAGGTATGTGGGGTTTTACGGGGTTGGAGATGATGATTGTTTCGTGAAACTTGGAAAATTCAAGATGACGGATCCAATTTATAGCAAAAGAAATTTCTAATTATGATCTGAATCTATTTAAGATTGGTATCTGAGGGTTTTCGGGGTCGAACTTCATGATTTTTTGTCAAAATTGGTGAATTCAAGATAGCGGATCCAATATGGCGAACGAAACTTGAAATTATGATCCGGTTCTATTCAAAAAATCAAAATTGGTATCTGGGGAGGGGTCGTCAAAATTGGGATATTCAAGATGGCGGATCTAATAAGGTGGACGAGTTTTGTAATGATGATCCGATTCTATTCAAAATTGGTATCTGGGGGTTTTCGGGGTAGGAGATAATGATTGTTTCGTCAAAATTGAAAAATTCAAGATGACGGATCCAATATATGGCGAAAGACATTAGTAAATAATTATTACTATACCACAAATAGAAGATATGTAGGATGCAAGAGTGAAAATAACGTGCCTATAAGTTATACTGCGTATACTTAGCGTATAATTACTTCTTTTGTTACTTTCATCAATAAATTATTCGAAAATGACTTTTCATCTAGAAGAGACGGAAAAATCATGTGTATGACATGGGGGTGAAGTATATTCTATTTTTTATTTTCCTGCACATTTTACTTATTAATTTGTATCAGCCTACTTTTCGCCCTAGACGAATGTTTTATACATGGTGTGATATTAGTAACTCCATGAATTCGTCTCCGAGTTGGATTCTGAAATCCATCGAGGGTTAACAAAATTCTGTTGAATATTAATGGTGCGCCACCCGGTATACCCCCGTTTACAAATTTCAATTAAGCGCTAGTTACTGTCAAGTAACGCCCTAAATACATCCACAAAGTGTACGAACTTTGGTTGCTTTAAGTTCAAGAATAAAGGGGATATTGATTTTTTTCAAAATTTATAACTTCACTTTTAAAGCCTATAACTCCTTAGGGAAGCAACTTGGTATAGAGGTAAGTTGCGTTAAATTGCCATATTTTGGGACCTCCTACATTCCCCTGCTCTATGTCGGTTCTTATGTGAATCACCCTGTATACAGAATACTATACAGAATGAAACAATCTCTTCACAATAAATATTATATCTGTGTGAAATAGCTATCGAGATGGACGATGGATGATGGGTGGCCTCATCTTACAACTGTTTCAACCTCAAACAGGCGACGTCTAACAAAGTCAACTGTTACAATAACGTTTGAGCGCGAAGTAATAAACGTAAATGCTCCTATGAATTATTGATGTGCTGGACAAACACAGCATTCCTTTTATAAACCATTCGTTATTTGTTCAAGAGTTTTACGACTTTGGTCGTCCAGTAAAACTTGTATTATCTTTGTGAAGTCAGGGTACTGACAAGATGAGTGTGTATTTTATTCTTTAATAACCTCCAAATGTGAAATAATGACTTATTTCTATCTTGAAAAGTCAGGAGTATACGAAATTAGTTGTGATAAAACATATATTACGTTGTAGCTATTTTCATTGACCTTAAAAAGGCATTTGATACAGTTGATCATAAGAATCTCTTAGAATACTTGGACTCGCGATGGGACTCAGAGGCATTGTTAAAAATCTTTTAGAATCTTATCTTGCGAATAGGACAATCAGCACTAAATGTAATATGTCAGAGTCTAATAAATTTCCAATAAGTAAAGGTGTTCCACAGGGATCTGTTCTAGGACCCATCTTGTATTTATTATATATTCAAAATATTTCTAAAATTGGATTGTCAGGTAATTATACTATATATGCAGATGATACTGTACTTTTATACGAAAACAAAAACCCCATCATTCTAGAAAATATTATTAACGAAGATTTGAAAAAATTTGAAAAATGGCTTCATTCAAACATTTTATCAATTAATACCAATAAAACTGAATATATAATATTCCATCAAAAAAATAAACAGAATATTAGTCTCAATCTCCAAATTAAAAAAATAAAGTATTGGAAAGAACTACACAAATAAAGTATCCTGGTATCTGGATTGATGAAAAATTTAAATGAAACACGCATAATATAGAGGTTTTGATACAAAAATATCTCCAATTATTGGAGCTTCGAGATGTCCTAAACTTGACAAAAAAGTCATAAACATAGTACTTCATTCTCATATACTCAGTCGTATTACCTATATGATAAACCTTTGGGGATCTTGTTCAAAAAATTATTTCAATAAAATATCTGCACTTTATAAAAAAGCACTGAAAGTATTATATCGCCTCTCATTTGATATCCCAACAAATGATTTGTATGCCATAACAGAAACATTTTCATTGGATGAATTGTATAAAATAGATTCCCTTAAAGTTTCATATATAATATAATAAACAATAATCTGAAATCCAATTTTATTTTGATAAGAAACTCAGAAATTCATGGTCATCACACGAGACAATCAAACTTATTTCATCTTGATTCTGCTACTTCTATAATTGGCCAAAAAAAATTTACTCACGCTGCTATAGCTGAATTTAATAAATTACCACATAATATAAAAAATTGCAGACATATTTCAAAATTTAAAGTTGAATTAAAAAAACACATGATTTCATTACGAAATAGATAAAATTTATACTTTGCCATCTACTGATTAGTCCCTGTGGCTATTTTTATGACTTGATCGATTTAGCATTTTTAGATTTTTTCGATGTTTTTTGTTGTTGTTGTTGTCACCTTATATTATTTTATTATTGTTGTTTGTAATCAACTTCCTCATACCAGAATTTTATTTCTGACTGGAAGCTAGTTTTTGAATAAAAAATAAACAATAGGCCAGACAAGGCGTCCCATAATATGGTAGGTTAAATAAATCGTGTGTAGCCGAACACATGTTGAATCACAATCATAACACATAAAATAATAACCTCAAATTAGTTAAGCAAGTTAATAATGTTAGAAAATTAGATGCCTATAGAAGCTATGGAAATATTTAAGAATAGTAATAGAGTTATGAATAAGGATAATGGACCTATATCCCATTTAGCCCTCTGTATAGTTTAGTAATATTACATGTGAACTCAACGAAGAATAACATTAGCTTGGCGGTTTTTGTCTATTCACGGTTGGGTGGACATATACCTAGTATATAAGTATCCCACTATTAGGATAGAGCATTTAGTTTTAATCTTCTCCTGAAGATGCTTACATAGTTAGCGAAACACGTGTCGTGGTGTAAAAAATCGGTTTGGTTAGTGGTAAAACAGGTTATATAGTGTATTATCGTGCCAAAGGTTCCAGTCTTCCATATATCAAAAATATACCTATTGTTTGTGATCTTAAATATACAGGATGATATCGAAATATCTATGTACATATACAGAAAGGGCCAAAAATCCCTCGTATCTTCTTTATTTTACGTATTAAACAAAATGTTAAATATATAATTTTTAGGGATTTATTCGATCTATTCATTGGTTCAAATTTCATTTATGCAGAGTGTCTCAAAATAGCGTAGTGAGTTAGAAGTTCATTTTGAAGTTTTATACATAAAACATATAGTGTCTCAAAAAACGCAGCGAATTATAAGTTGATTTTTCCACTGGGACACCCTGTATATCATTGCATTTTTAGATTCTTCGCTGGATTTCAAACAAGTTTGTGGAATTGTGTTATCACAATAAGAGTTATTATTTCGACTATTTCAGCACCAGATCAGTGAGAAAACCGTTACAAATGGAATACACTTCCCTATCCTTACTTTTTGAATACTTTCAACACTTTTTGTAATGTAAAATAAAAAAATTACAGCGGCAGTCTGAGGAAAGATTCCATGTTTGTTCATAGGCTCAAAATAACCGAAAAATTTGTTTTCGAAATATTGGTAGGAGAATCGCCTTTATATAGTTTTATCTTGACATCTAGCCGACATTTTCATAATGAGAAAAAACAGTTCCCGAAATCGAAATCATAATTTTTTTAAAGAGCCCTCAGTCAGTCAGCGAATTTGACCGAATGAGAAGAAGAAGATATTTATATCCTCATGTAATGTACCTTTCTGGGAGAAATGACTATATAGGCCCAATACACTATAAACCTTGAAGTTATATAGTATAGTGGAAAAAAATAAAACTGAAGTGGATAGCTGGAACAAAATCATCTAGATATAATTTTATAGATTTGAAGGTGATAAGAGTGTTGTATCTAAATTTGTGGCCGATATAATTATTATTGTTTATTCCTTACGGCATCTTCCCTTAAGTTTCAGTTTTGTTTCATCCGCTTCAGCGTCGCTGACGAACGATCAGAGGCGAGGTGCAAGTTTGTCTGCTATATTATCGTGTATAAAAGATATTATTCAGAGCTCTACAGAGAAATTTGCATAAAAAAAAACCTGATATAGTGTTGAGGACCTGAAAAAATCACGTTCCCTATTTTGCTAAGAAAAAGAAGAAGGTTAGAAATCGAATGTATATATTTATTCAAATTGAAAGCTGACAAGAAACTTCACTAAACAACCTCAATAAGATTGATTAATGTTGGATCATTGTTGTGGAAATCAGCAATTTTCAACTGCATCAAATTAAGTTTTCTAAAAAACATTTAGAGATATAAAAGTTAGTAAACAAAACAAAAGTTTTCAGCAACACTCTTCAAAAAGGAGAATTTTCAATAAATGAAAAGTTATAAGAAACACTATACCAAGGCATACTTCAGGGTTGAAAAAATTCCAAAAGTGTAGTTTTATTGAAATATTCACCAAATTTCGTGCCTTCAGCTTAATTTGTTGATCTTCAGAGGGGTGTAACTTTTTCGGGAAAAGGTTTGTCATAAAATTGTATCAATAGAATGAAGAGATTTTGTATTTCGTGTAAAATATATTATAATATCGCAAAGCGCTTTCGGCTGAAAAGCCATCATCAGTGCTATACCTGCAAGTAAGTAATATTTATGAATATTTCAAAGAACAAATCCTAAAGTGTAGACGAGTAAGTAATCTACTGGCTTTTTAGCCGAAAGCGCTTTGCGATTTTATAATAAATTTTACACGAAATACAAAATCTCTTCATTATATTGATCAGTTACGTGTATGCAGCTAGTACAGATCTTCACCAAAAAATTTTATACCAAATACCCACCCTCACAAAATCTCCCCTTGCATTTTTTCAGTGTTATTTAGATACACCATGTATATTTAGATTACCCTGTATATATCTTATTGTTTACGAAACGCTAAGACAACCAAAGGAAGATAATTTCAAATTTGATCCTGATATTTTTTCGTTAGTTGAGAAAGAAAATCAGCCATTAGGATGCAAACAATGAGACTTATTCATGAATAGCTGCTAGCTACTCCACTTACAATAAGCACCTCGGCAAAATAACAACAAACAATTTGAAAGTTAAAACGTGTGTACAAAACTAATTAGATCTGAGACGGGTATTTCGGTAGCGACCGACGTTTCGTTTCTCCTAATCATCGCTAATTGTGGCTCGGTCTCCTTTCCCTTCCCCCCATTTTCCCCCCATTGACCGCACTCCCATCCCCACAAACCGAGACCGCGGCCGCGGAATACCACGACGAGATGTTACTTTCGAACGGAGGTGTCAAAATTAAGTAAATGTTCCTGGTTTGTTTGATTTGGGCAGCGAGTAAATGTTTAAGGTTACGTTGTAAATAGATCTCGTCGAGCGGATTTTTTGTTTGGAAAAGGTGATTCGGCTCATTTGAATCACAAATCAAGTTATTGGAGAGACAGGTGATGATGACGACATTTTTCGATTGAACTATATCCCATGATTAAGAGTTAAGAGATCCAGGGGAGTCACCTCAAATCATGACCAAGAGAGACTAGGCAGTACTGTTTTTTACGCCAGGTCCCATCAGTTGCTCTCTGTATACTCTGGTCATTAGACCGACTATAGTGCTTCAGGTATAATAAACCATGAGGATTTTGGCTCATCAGTGGATCATCCAGCAAATGACTCACATTTGTAGTTTTTTTATTAGGAGAGATAAAAATTTGAAATTCACAAAGGTTATATCATCGATGATGGCGCTTCCCTTGAATCCAATGACAATTCTCTTCAACCACCTGTTTAATGGGAAGTAGACCCAACTTTTTTTTTTCGAATGGCACCCTGTATATTTCTGTAGCCTATCTTATTTGCCTTAGAATTCTCTATTCAACTATGTATCACAATTTGATATTCGTTCATTAATTGGCTGTTAAATTGCATTTCATTGAAATACATGAAGTTGGCTGTGGCACGAATACAATGACATTTCGATGCTTGATAGGCTTAGAAATTCAAAGATCATTACTTGGACGATATTATCAGAATATTTCTCATACCCTAATCGGTCCCAGAAGATAGCCAATAATTTCATTGAGTATAAATAAAAGACCATCCGCAAATAACTCACAATATTGAGAAAACTAAGATAGAAACTCATTTTTTTCATTTGGCTATACTTGTGAAGAAACTATTTGTCATTCATTTTTGCTATGTAGCCATAATATGATCATCCATTTGGATACATGACACTGAAATTGTTGTAATAATTGATGCACCGTCTCAATCTATGGTATTATATAATTCTATCAAGTGCACCTAATCTGATTAGCAGACTGGGGCAATGCAAGGATGTCAAAGGACAGCTAAGACTTAGATAAAAAGTTGTCCTCCATGAATTGAAAATCGACCTATTTCACCGCGTTTTCTCAAATAAAAATTATCGCGGAAGTTATTCAGTCTCTTTCATTCTCGCTGTATAGTTGAATCCCAATAAGAGAGTATACAGAATATTATAGTTTGCCAATGAATGAGAGACCTAGCGAATCGGAAAAATATTCCAATGGCTACTACACGATAATATAATCATTCATAGAAGCCCTGTATATGTGAAGCCTTCGACCAATAGAGCGATAAACAGACTCCCTCACATAGGCAAGTCATCCGTTCGACCACAGTGGTGATACCAGAATGGTTAATGGTTGACTTGACTCCTATCAAAAGTTAACGTGGTAACTTCGTGGGCAGGTTTGAAACGTAACCGATATTCGCAAACAGCTGGTTGGTCACTGGTCAGACTGATGGTCAGACTTCGCACTGAACGTATGTGCCCGGTCAAACCACAGACTTGACACAGCCATAGTCTACCTCCAGTAAAAAAGGCGTACATGGACGACGATAGCTCCCTTGACGACTTCTGCAATCTGCATGCTTCTGCAATATGAGCGCTGACACTTCCCAACCGTGACATGGTTATGGAAGGAGACTGTACGTCTGGTCTTCCGAGAAAATATTGTGGATGGAGTTTCCTCAAAATACAATAACTCGACTGTTTCAATTTTCACGAATCTATGCAGCCCTGATTTAAAGACCTAGATAAACATTATTCACTCTGGAATTCATTATCTATGGATATCTTCCCCGAAAACTATAAAAGGATGACCTTCGAGGAAAATATCCCCAGTTTCCTTATACGGTATGAGGGTATGGGTAGAATCATCGCAGGTAATTCCAGAGATAACCCTGTTCACTCTTGCCAAAGGAGGCGTAGTGAAACAAGATCAACTTCAAATTTATGTAGATATAGTACCCTCTATATGTTTAGTCGATACATCAGGAGCCGATGTATCGATTATTCCAAGGAGTATATTCACAAAATCAATTATTGTGAATCGCTCAGATATTATTAAAAACTTACCCAATGAATTTAATCCATAGTGGGCTTGGTACACGGTGCTAGCTGTACTGATTGGTAGAGCAGGACTCAGTCCGGAACCCTGATTGAGTTGTCCTAGAGACTGGCCAAATCCACCCATTGAACCTTGGCCTAATTGTCCCAAACCTGCAGAAAGTACAATAACATAATACGAAAATGTCTACAGTTTTCTTCTGCATCAAGAGTTTGAATTTGAAAAGAGCACTAACAATAAGCACCTTCATAGGAATCATAACCATATTGGTTTCCTAGATTTTTCTGTCTTTTTTTCTCGTTTCTATGAATTTAAGTATTATTTCAGTATATTCCTTGTAAGGACAAATCAGATGATTCACCTCAAAGTGTCCCTATTATCATATTATCAAAAAACATGAAATAATTAGTGGATTTTGGATATATAAACTCCATGTTCTATCTACAGTGTGTTACAATTATTTGATGGTTGTACTTCCGTATTCCTGGGGCGATTTGAAAATTTTTTCTCTCATAATATACTACCCAAGATTATCTACTTTGTCGAGCAAAAACAAATTCAAAACTACAGCAAAATTGAAAAAAAACCGGATTAGGCATTTTTTTACAATTATTTTAATAATGGCAATCGATTGGGACTAGTAGCAAATGCTTCTGAGTATATCCATTTTCAAAACAATTTCCCATAAGGGATGTTTTTTATCAACGTTACAATTTTTGAATAATTGAATTTTTCACCGTGCGTATATTGATTCTTAAGAATTTGAATGATACCAGGCATGATTATCAGACTAGAGTGGCAACAAGAGGTGAAGTATATGGGGCTTAGCCATGATGCAAAACTCTGGAATCGAAACGTAGAAAAGATTCACATCAAGGCGAAATCTCCACTGATGATGTGCAGAAAGATTGCAGGAAAGACATGGGGCTGCAACCCATGCGATGGCTGTACACCATGATAGTTAGACCTATGATGACCTACGGACCAATAGTTTGGCATGGCAGAACCGAACTCGCCACAACAAGGAAAATGTTAGAGAAGTTGCAGAGACTAGCATGTCTTTGCACCAGGAGCAATGAGATCGACTACAACAGCAGCACTAGAGGTCATACTGGACCTCACACCCCTCCACAGCATGGTGAGGAGAACTGCTTGGGGAGCACATTTCAGGTTGGAGAAGGTCCAAAGGCTCAAAGGAAAAACACATAACGTGGGGGATTCAATGCCCACTGGAAGTGCACACTTCGCCGATCTCCTAACTGATGAAATTATCAGGAACTTCAATTTCGAGAAAATTTTCGAACAGAACTAAGCACCAAGAAAGAATGGAGCACAGAATTCATCCAAGCACTGGGAGAGAATACCATAATATGGTATACGGACGGGTCTGAAACACCCGAAGGAACTGGAGTAGGAGTGTTTGGGATTCGCACTGAATATTACGAACGGATAGGCCAGTTTTCCAAGCGGAAATTCACGCCATAGTCATAGTAAGGTGCATTTAGTTCAACCTCGACAAGAAATACCGGAACAAGGAGATCGCTATCCTTTCCGACAGCCAAGCAGCCATCAAATCATTGAGCTCCTTTAACATCAACTCATAGATGGTTTGGGACTGCCTAGACAAACTCAACATACTAGGTAGGAATAATAAGGCAATCCTCTTCTAGGTGCCGGGGCACATAGAAGTGGAGTGAAATGAACAAGCAGACATCCTGGCACGAAAAGGAGCATCAACGCCACTGATCGGACCAGAAGTATTCTGCGGCCTTGGAAATTCTTATTTCCCAGAAGAACTTGATGAAGCAGGCCAAAGATGTCTTCTCAAATTCCAATCGAGCAAGTTCGAAGCGAAATTAATTAGTATCAAAGCAATAACGAGATCTCTAACGGGGCATTGTAGACTCAAAGTACGCTTGGCTCAGAGGAGGATAGCACCTGCAGATTCTGCGGGGAACATCCAGAAACACCCCACCACATCTTGCTGTACACCACAAAAGATCGGATATACTGGGAGCATACCAGTTGACCGTAAAAGAAATACCACAAACAGATCCCCTCCAAATCCTCAGATTCCTATAAGAATTGAAGCTTGAGGGGCAGCTATAAACCTTGACATAGCAGAAAGTAATGGGGCACAATAGATCTACTCAGGTCGCCAATAATAATATGACAAGTATGTCCACACTCAAAGGGCGTTAAATGAGATGTTCGAGTCTCTCTACTCCAAACTGATTGCCATTATCAAAAAATGTTCGAAAATAATTGCCTAATAGATTTTGTTCAATTTTGCTGGAGTTTTTGTGATCGCAGTAGGCTGAGAAATTGTGATTATGTTTCAATCTCTGCTCGACAAAGGAGATAATTTCGAGTAGTATATTTTGAGGTAAAATGATTTCAAATCGTCCTAGGACTACTAGGAATACGAAAGTACAGGGGTGGTGTGGACCAATTTGTGTCACACTGTACATATATCAACTGAGCATAAAGCAATATTTTTGGGCCTTAGTTCCGAAGAATGCTGCAAGCGGATTCTCTAATTTTTATCCTTGGTTATGTTCATTCACTATGATTTGATATTGTTCCTTTTTGCCATATTCTATCATTAAATGATATCTTACCTGTTGCCATTCCGGTGACACCCCACCTGGTATCCGAAGTACTGAACATACTGGATCCACAGAGACCATCACCCATCGCACCGAAAGGAGGAAGACCATGAGAAGGTAGCAGGGCGCCAGGGGTACGGAATACGTTGGTAGTCTTCTTCCTTTTCTTCCACTTTGCCCTTCGGTTTTGGAACCAGACCTGAAAATTGAATGATCAAGGAAATAACGAAGTTGACGGCCAATTTGGCATTGTCAGCATAGAATTTATTATTGGTTCAAGCAGATTTTGATTCTTTCTCGATACATAGCGTATACCTCAATTACAAACTCATAGTGGGAGATATGGTATTAGAGATATATACCTCCATCCGTGAACCTTCAAATTCTGGCAGATTTGGAGGGCTCGTGCTGCAAACTTCATTCTCGTAGGAAATCATTATCAATCCGTCCTCATTAAACAATGTACTATTTTCTGAACTTTCGGAGGTTATTTATAAGTTCATGGACATACTTCCATTGGCGTAGAATTTGTTGATGAATATACCCAAAATATATGTCTGTTATAATGTTGGGAAGAGTCGGTGGTAGCTCAAAGTGGAGTGACGCCGATTATATACGAGGGTATGAAAATGCCATAGTCAACTGAATCGCTGAATATCAATTGATGAAAATACGTTGAGAATATATTAAACTTTGAAATAATGTTTCGGTTGTATTCAACCCTCTTCAAACGTATTACAAACTGAAATTTCATCAGTAGGTACACTGGATTCCTTTTCCACCAGCTTTCCAAAGTGGAGTCATGAACCAGAGCCATATGGTTGTATTTGAAAAACAAACATGTTGAGGTTAGTTTCAGGTACCCCTGAAAGGCTATACCTTTCATATTATTTTGATATATACTATGTGCACTAGTGGATTCATGTTATTGGTTTCATGTGTAGTTAGAACCTATTACAGCAACTCACAAATATTCATTTTCTTTGACCTGCTACAAAAATACCTTTTATTCACGTAGTAAAATAAAGTTATCTATCAATCTATCTATCTATCTATCTATCTATCTATCTATTTTTTTTTTCATGTTCTGGTTCCCACGAAAAGGGATATCCTGTAATGTTCAGAGAACATCGTGAGAACCAAGGAAAATAAGGTAGGAATTGGTGTTCTTCTTGAATTTATGGAGGTTATATGCCTCGAGGAACACCTCCTTTGTGTCTTGCAATGTGTTCCAGAGCCTCGCTGTTCGTTGGATGAACGAATCTTTGGAAAGAGATGTTCTGCAGGTCTCCAAAGTGACCACGAAGGGGTGCGAAGCCTCAACTAGTCGGGTGAATCTCGCGGGGACTGCCAAGGAAGAAACAATTGTTGATATTTTAGAAATGCATCGTCCATGAAAATATCCATAAAATAGAGCCAGATCGCCAACTTTTCTACGGTGTTCCAGAGAAGTGAGTGAGTTTGTGAGCGAGGCATCACCCACGACACGAATTGCCCTTTTTTGGACAGAATCCAACAGTTTCAGGGTATATTTGGGTGTTGCACTCCAAATATGGGAACAGTATTCCAGGACAGTTCGGATTTGTGCCTTATAGATCATAAGCAGCTGACTGGAAGTGAAATAGCTCCTGGCCCGAAACAGAAAACCAAGTTTTTGGGATGTACTTTTAGCAATTGATTTCACGTGATCTTTCCAAGAAAGGCTATTGCTGATAGTAATACCAAGCATCAAAATGGATGTCTTCAAAGGTATGGCTACCCCTGACAAGCTCATGTTGGGAACAGTGAGATCGGCTTTTCTAGAGAAAAGGCATGCTTGTGTTCTGTTTGCATTGAAATCTACCAAGTTATTGGATCCCCATTTGAGAATTGTTGCCATGTCCATATTTATGTTGTCAACATTTCTCCCTCGTTCGATTCTGATTTGCCTGGCTGGTATTGGAGCCCTGGAAGAGAAGGCGGTATGGACGGTACAATCATCCGCGAAGCTGTGTACTTGATTGTTGATATGGAGTAGAAATGTGTTGGTGCTAGAATCGATCTTTGCGGAACACCAGCGTGTCAGATGAAACTCCGCCGACCACTACATGGAGAGACCTGTTTGAGAGAAAACTAGCTAGCAGAGAACATAGCTGGGGAGGCAAGTCATAAGATGGAAGTTTGGCGAGGAGTCCGTGGTGCCAGACTCGATAGAATACCATGGAGATATCAAGTGCCACGGCTGAGGTTTCACCATAATTTTCAATAGATTGCTGCCATATATGTGAGACGTAAGCGAGCAGGTCACCAGTTTATCTCTGATGGCGGAAGCCATATTGAAATAATAGATAGCAGTGCGATCGGTCTGTAGTTGCTAGGTATGGGCTTTCTGCCTTTTTTAGGAACTGGTTGTACTCTTGCAATTTTCCAGTTGGGCGGGAATATCCCCAACTTGTAGGAGTAGTTGAACAACTTGCAGAGAACAGGTGTTAGTTCGGGAGCACATTTCTTGAGAACAATCGGCGGGATTCCGTCGGAGCCACAAGCTTTGTAGGTGTTGAGACCCAATAAAATCTTCCTCATAGTACGTTGGCAAAAGGTGACCTCGAGCATAATATGACTGTCAATTGGCGTTATGTTTGGAGGTTGTTTTCCCGATGGATCCAGAGTGGAAAAATATTGGCTTTCTTCTATTCTATCTTTCATATTGCTCAGAAAATGTATTGATGAATACATTGAAACGTTGAAGTATGTCGGGAAATAGAAAGAAAAAATATTCATTCTCTCACTAGTGGATTCATTTCAGTTAAACTCTCCACCCTATTATATGTAATCTGTATAACATTTCAGGAATCCATCGAAAGCTCCGTCTGCTATGCCATCTCAGCGACGGATAGATACGGTTCCATTAAATTTAATCAATTGTCGAAATGAATCGAGCAGGCTGCCGTGGAATGTCGTCTGCCGAAAGTCGGTTGGCGCGCTCAGGAAAAGGACGAATCCTGCGAGAATCAACTGCCGGAAAGGAAGTGCGGGGGCGGTGAACAGGGGTTGCTAGGACGGGCCGCCACAAGCATGGGCGAGGCGGCGCTCGATAATGTTGCTTTCAGCTTTCAGCGTTTTGCCAGTTGCCTGCGTCCGATTCGGCTGATGTTCCTATTCCTATCCGAACGCAGAACGGGAATGGATAATGAGTCTTATACAGGGTGTTTCATGAGAAGACTCACATAGCCAAATGGTTGATAGAGGAAATCAAGACGAATTGATGTTTATAAATGAAAACATTTTTTGACCCTCCATAACGAAGATACAGGGTATTATGCGAAGTTGTTATATAACTTTGATGGCCGATATTACAGAAATGATTCATCGTAATCTGCTGAAATTTGGCAGCGACGTTTCTCTACTGAAACTATTCAAGATAACATTATGAAAAAAATATATCCAGGTCCGGACTTGGGAAAATTTCATGTTTCATTGTTATGTCAAAAAAGTTCTCTTTGGGACCACTTTTCTCGAAAAATTCCATCAGATTCAGAAAGATCAGACAAAACGCTATAAGAACTGCTCTTCAATTCACACGGCACACTTTGACCGGTTCAACAAAAAAATATGGAACAAAATCGTTCGAATAAATTTTGAATTTCCACCTGGCTGATATAACTGTCAACTTTCAACTGGTATCATGTGAATTGATTTTTCGTACATTTTTGTTGAATAGTAATTGACAGAAGTATAGACGAGAAGAAAAAACACGATATATTTTTATCGAAATTCCGGATAGATATTAATATCATTCCTGACTTTGTTTTATGGGTTTCAATGATTGAAGTAATTATAAAATATCTAGTAGGCCCTGTTTCCCATTTATGTGACGAGACGTGACGTTTGTTGATAATCCGAACTGATAGGTAGGTACTAGGCGAGGTACTAGGCTAGTGCTAGGTAGGTACCAACTGATGGAATTAGGACATGAGGATTCATGTGCCCATATTATGGTGATATCAAATTAGTTATGCCATCACGCATAAACACAGTTCCATTTTTGGTTATTGATACACTTCTGCAAGTGATATAAGGATGCATTAGCTATTTATTCGAAATTCCTTGTTCATCCTCGTGGAGGTTTTACTGCAATGTATTCTTGGGTCTGGAAATATTCTATGGTATTAAACATACAATCGCATTTGGATTTTCGTCTTGTTCAGCATTTGAAATATGAAGTGGCACCTAGAGTGCAAGAATATTTCGATTACCAGTGTTTACTTATCAACAAACGCCACCTTACATGAAGTAAACACAGGGCCTACTTTATAACAAATTAATAATATAGAGTCACGAGTAATCATATCCATCTAGAAGTTCGGTCAAAAACTAACATGTCAAATCATAAAAAAATCAGAACTATTCTCTTCTGTCAATTTCTAACTAATGAAAATGTACAATAAAATCAATTTACACGAATCCAGTTGAAAGTTGAGAGTTATCAGCCAGGTCGAAATTTAAAATTCATTCGAACGACTTTGTTCCATATTTTTTTATCGAACCGGTCAAAGTGTGCCGTGTAAATTGAGGAGCAGTTCTTATAGCATTTTGTCTGATCTTTCTGAATCTGATAGAATTTTTCGAGAAAAGTGGTCACAAAGTGAACTTTTTTGACATAACAATGAAACATGAAATTTTCCCGAGTCCGGACCTGGATATTTTTTTTTTCATAATGTTATCCTGAATAGTTTCAGTAGAGAAACGTCGCTGCCAAATTTCAGCAGATTACGATGAATCATATCTGTAATATCGGCCATCAAAGTTATATAGCAATTTCACATAATACCCTGTATCTTCGTTATGGAGGGTCAAAAAATGTTTTCATATATATACATCAACTCGTCTTGATTTCCCCTATTAACCATCTGGCTATGTGAGTCTTCTCATGAAACACCCTGTACATATATTTGATTCTCGAAATGGCGAATGATTACGTTTCATTCGTTGGATATTAGCTCGGACTTTAAACAGTTATAACATGAATGAAAAATTTTCAGAAGAATGGGGCTGCATTGCAGGAAAATTCTGTGATTCAGGATTTCTAAATCAAACAATCTTCTCAAGTGTCATCAGATATTCTATGGAAGGACTATAATCACATCATACATCCTGAGGAAAGTTTATACTGAACTATTGTTCATTGAATAGATTACCGACTGTATTATATTATGATTTAAT